CACCTTAGGTGTATGTGGCTGGCGCCTTAGCCACTTGAGCCACAGGCGCCAAGCCGACATATATTCTTAATGACTTTATCGCACGACAATCACAAAGCTCTCTCAGTTTGTGATCCTAAGTCATTCAGTCCCTTTCTGGCCTCTTACCTTTCCCTACTCATCACTGCTGACCATCCCAGTTTATTACAGCTCACTGCATCCCTGATTCCCTTAGCTAAACTCCTATTTTTCCTACCACACCACCAGAATCCTGAATTAATACTAAAATCTACTCGTTAGTCCTTCATTTAGTAATCACCACTATATAGTCTGAACTGCTACCAATCCTTTTAAATATTCTTAGATGGCTCTCTCTACAATCTCTTCAAACACTACTCTAAACCTTTACCACTCTACTCAGTCCCTTACTTAATCCCAAACCTCTTCATTTTCAGTAGACATTCTTCCCTAATTTCACTGCCCTGGTCATTTGTCAGATCACCTAGAATAATCTCTCTCAATTACCTTTATTCCTACAAAACAAACCCTTATTTATATCCACAAACATCTTTACCTTCTCTCTTCCAGTCTCAGATGATGAGCTGTCCCTCCTCTTGTGTGAGGTTAACTCTTCCAAATGACCTTGACCCAATCCTCCCACCTCTTCCAGGACCTTGCTTCATAAGTTGTATGCCCTTGGGCAAGTTATTTCATCTTTCTAAACCTCAGTTTCTTCATCTGTGAAATGGGGTACAGTACCTACCTCAGAGGTTTAAGGATTACATGAGATAACATTTACCAAGTTCTTGGCATAATGTCCGACAAAAAGTAAACACTGAATAAATGTTAGCTGCTATCATCACAACCATCATATGAATCTCCCACCACATCAATTTCTCTCTCTCTATTGGTTTCTTTCTGGTAGAGACAATGCCTACATTGTTTTTAACAGATTATATGTTTAAAAGGCTAGACCAAGTTGCATTACAGGACACTTGGGTAGGGGGAGTTGCAGAAGCGTTCAGTAGGAACCATGTTATGTTTCTGAGGAAGTGAAGAGGCATTCTGAGTACAGTAAGGAGTAGTACAGGATAAAACTAGGGGGATAGTTTTATTAGGATCACTCTGGTTGCTGTGCATCCAATATATGAATCCTAATACTGTTTGGACTGTTCAGAGATCATCTGGTCCAATGCCCTCAACACAGAGCATATAAAATGAGGTCCAAGAATCATCACAGGTAACATGGCTAAAGTTATTGGCACTATGTGTTTCTATTCTGTTTTTCTGGGTTTGATTTTTCCATAATAAAAAGGGTTTAAAGAATTAAATGGTTTTGACAATATTTTCAATAGGCAAGTCAGATAAAATACTTTTCCCTACCAAATTTCCAGAATTTTCAGCACCAAACATCAATAATCTTTAGCACTAAAAGGAAAAACTACCTCTGTGTGTGGTCTTAATCTGATGTGTATATAGATATCACAGCACTATAATCTTAGAATAATTTAGTGTATGAATTCTAGAAATAGTCCATTTACTCTCAGTTTTCTGGTCTCTTTCCCAGTATTTTCATTTCTATGTAGAGGGAACTTGAAAGGAAGATGTAGTCACTTCCCTAATATTATTTAAGACAGGGTCAAATAGGCTTAACTTTTATTTCTCTCTATAATTCAATCTACACTAGATGAATCAAAAATATGAAGGAGTTTTTCTTCTCAAAATGAATTTTCTCCTTAACAAACTTCATATAACTTAAAAAGTTGGGAGAATACATGGCTTCCGTAAAGTAGGTTACACTTGTCGTGCCAAATTAGTCTTATTTTGTAATATTAGCATTTTAGTTAACATTTAAGAAAATGCTATTTCTATAGCTTCTTCCACCTCCTGTGTACCTATTCTGAATCTGTAAGTGGTGTTTTAAACGATAATTTAAAAAAAGAAAAAAATACAAAAAATTTGAAAAGGAAAAATATTATTTAATTTTATCTTTAAGTGTACTGGTATCAAATATTCAACATAGCTCATCTCATTGCCTGAACGTTAATCTTGAAACTCAGAAGGAAAAAAACAGTATTTGCTTAAAAATAAAACTGCAGAAGTTTCTCTAAATTCAGAAAAGCAACATAAATTTCAGACACAAGCCTTATGAATTGAGTAAGTGATTAACAGACCAGCTCTCACCACCTAACGACCACTTTACAACAATGAACTCCTGAGCACTTACGTGTCAAGTGCTACCCACTGCCTAACTGAAAACCTGTAATCCAAATCCTCCGAAATGACCCTCTGAAGCAGGTGCCAGGTGTGAGGAATCCCTGTGGCACACTTTGAGAAGCACCAGCAGAGTGGGTGAGGGCACAGATTTGGATTCAAAGCACCTGTTTCAAATCTTAGCTCTGCCAACTTTTTAGTTGTGAGGTTTCTGGTAAGTTACTCAAACTCTCTAAAAGCCTGTTTCTTTCTCTATAAAACAGGGATAATAATTCTTACCTCATGAGGTTAATAAAAAGATTAAATGATTAAATGAGATAGTGCTTATAAAAGGCACACAAAAAGTACACAATAAAACCAAAAGAGCAGGGCTGGCGCCTGTGGCTTAAAGGAGTAGGGCACCTGCCCCATATGCCAGAAGTGGCAGGTTCAAACCCAGCCCTGGCCAAAAAACTGCAAAAAAAAAACCCCAAACAAAACTATAAGAGCAGTTAAGAGTAATTATTCAGTAGTGCTAAAGGTAAAGAGAATTACCTACTCTGATACACACATTATCATTCTTGTTCTATCCACTAACTGATATATTTTAAAAGGCTATTTTCCTAGAACCCATGAAACCACACTTTAGAAAAAAAATATTCCCATCTCAATCTTGTTAGCATTACAAACCAGTAAATAAATCTCCAACAATTATTATAGTATTATATAAATTATATAATATGAAATGCGATTTTAAATCCTCACAATCTTATTTTCTTTCCCGTTGTCTTCAGTTGTAAATATCAATTGCTTATTAATTTCATCCATACTGATTAATGATCGTGTTTTGATGAAGTACTGAAAAGAGACAGCTTCCACATATTCTTGCAGTCCTGAAAAAACAACAAAGAAAATTACTAAGAATAAACACTACATTAATAAAAGTGCATACTAAAAACCTTCAAATTGAACACCTAGTTGAACAGAAGTTTAACAGATGCCTACTATGATACTAGCACCACACCAGAAATGAAAAAAACAAAGGATAACCTGGACAGACGGTGGGGGACCAGCACCGGACTGGCAAACATTTCTGTGACAGCTCAAATAGATTGTTTCCTCTTTCTACTTCACAAGTCATTAGTCTTAAAAATTTACTTTTCTATACAAAAATATCAAAAAGCTTTTTTTTAATTTTTAAGAAAATAAGTAATAAGAATTTAAGAAAAGGTTATTTCATAAATGACAGGCTTTAACAGAGATAATACAGATTATTTTTTGCTTTCTTAAGCAGCAAAATAATTATTCAATCAAATGAGACAAAGTTAAGGATTATTCAAATCTTTGGGTTTTTTGATATTTTTATTTTTTTTATTTTTTAGAGATGGGGGTCTCACTCTATTGCCCAGGCTGGAGTACAGTGGCATGATTATAGCTCACTGCAGCCTTGAACTTCTGGGCTCAAATATGGATCTTTCTTAAAATTGTAACAGGCAAAATCACTTTAAATAATGTAGATAAAAATGTCGAAATACAAAATACTGTTTGTCTCTTCATACTTCAAAATGGATTTAAGAATAGACAACTTCTTTCTGCTTTAGCATTTCACATTTAAAAAAAAAAGGCGAGGCAATACAATATTATACCAGGTATAAATTCTTTTTTTAAAAAAAATACACACACACACACCACAAGCCGGGCACAGTGGCTCATGCCTGTAATCCTAGCACTCCGAGAGACTGAGGAGGTGGTGGACTGCTTGAGTTCAGAAGTTTGAGACCAGTTTGAGAGAGAGTGAGACCCCCATCTCTACTAAAAATAGAAAAACTAGCTGGGCATTGTGGCAGGAGCCTGTGGTCCCTACCATTCGGGAGGCTGAGGCAAGAAGATCACTTGTGCCCAAAAGTTTGAGGCTGCTCAAACTCGGCACTCTATCCAGAGCAACAGAGTGAGATTTTGTCTCAAAAAAACAAAAAAAGTCAAAAAAACCCCAATAACCACACAACATAGTTGAATCAAAAGTAGACTTTGATAAAGATCAAAATAGTACTATAAGTCTTTTCCAAGTTTTTTTTTTTTTTAAAGACAGTCTTACTTTGTCGCCCTAAGCAGAGTGCCGTGGCGTCACAGCTCACAGCAACCCTAGTTCTTGAGCTTAGGCAATTCTCTTGCCTCAGCCTCCCGAGTAGCTGGGACTACAGGTGCCTGCCACAACACATGGCTATTTTTTGTTGCAGTTTGGCCAGGGCCGGGTTTGAACCCGCCACCCTCAGTATATGGGCTCTACTCAGAGCCAAAGGCACCACCCTTTTCCATGTATTTTTAAAAAACTAAATTCTATGGCCACAATTCTCAATATTGTTTTATTATGCCTTGATCTACATGAATATTTCTTAAAATAATTATCTTTCTTGTCAGGTTAAGAAACTCAGGCCTTTTGCAAGCTTTGTTGTAAAAAATAACAAGAGGGAAATAAATTTCTGATGATGTAAAGCTCGGAACTAAATAGGATCACTAGTATTTAAGTTGTTTCTCTGCTACTTACACAACTGCCCAAGGTCTGACACTACGTATCAGGTTTGGCAGCAACAACGTTGCAGAGTCTGACACCTATGATATCATCACGATATCATCAAATATCACGCAAGGGTGAAGGAAAAGAAAAATAGATGACCCTGGTTTTGATGTGCGAAGAGGACAGGTAGCTAAGTGAAAATATGCTGAACTGCAAAGGATGTCCAAGTATACGGAAAATAGCTGTCCTTCAGCTAACAGAAGACAACTAAAAGGATACTTGGTTTAATAAAGCATAACACAATGAGAAATTAAATATCAATAAGGCTGAATTTAACAAAACAGTTACCATTTATAATCAAAAATACTTTTGTAAAATTTTTTATGAATAGGTGACGTCACCCAGTTCTCTCCCCTAAAGAAAATCAATTTCTCATTTCCTTCCAAAGATACTTTACAAGTAAAAACACAAACTGCAAAACTTAAGAATACCATATAATTTTATCTCTACATATGCTGTAATGTGGTTACCTGTTATGAGTGAGCTAAACAAGATATGCACAAAGATTTATGTGCCAGGATGTGCATCATTACCTCAGAAAATGAAAAAAAACTTTTGTAAAATTAAATGATAGCTGTATACATTAATGCAAACATGGGGTACAGTGTGGTGTTTTCATATACAATTCAAAATATTTTCATCAAACTGGTTAACATAGACTTTGTGTCATTTACTTAGTTATTGTGTTAAAACATTTATACTCTAGTTCTAGAAAAGTTCACTTGTACCTGGAAAAAAAAAACTTAAGAGACCAATAATAAGCCTGCCACTTGTCAATTTATGGACTCTTAACTCTTACTACCTTAGATAGTGGAAGTGAAACCTTGGAACGGTTCTCCTATGACAGGTGGCAATCTGGTAAGCTTGTTGGTACAGGGGGCTGGGTGCTCTCTTCCTAGGTCTGGTGTGCCATTCTTAGCAGCCTTCCAAGTGTGGGGAGCACTTCAATGTGGCCAGCAGCATCTATTTTATCCCTGGGGCAGCTTCTTCACAGAAGCCTTGGGTGGGGAATTCCATGGCTTATCACTTCCCCATGGCCAGCTTCCCAGAGAGCCCCTCAGTGAACATCTCTGCCCATCCAATGGACCATGCTTGTATCTCTCCAGTAAGGTCTGGATCTGATCTTGTTGGGGTGATGTTACTTCCTTGGGTGTTCTGCCTCAGCCCTAGGGGTAGTGGCTAATCATTCTGAAATTCCTATTTCTTTAAAGTTCTTATTTCCTCTTATTCGCTAATCCCCTGCGTGGTTAATAATTCTTTTTTTTCTTAAAGTCTCACTTTGTCACCCCTTGTTCAAGTGTCACCCTTGTTCAAGTGCCACTGCATCACAGCTCATAGCAACCTCAAACTCCTGGGCTTAAGCTGATCTAGAACCCATGAGCTCAGGCAATCTATCCATCTTGGCCTCCCAAGTGCTGGCATTACAGGGGGTGGGGCCACTGAACCCAGCCTGGTTAATAATTCTTTAAATTTCTGTGTAGTTCTATTTCTTGTTCGAGCCCTGATGAATACAATGGAAATTAGGAAAATAATCCTATTTCTCCTTCAGCTCTATTACCTAGAGAAGGTGTTCCATCTTGTGAGACCAGTCACTGTACCAGGCTGTACTAGATCCAATCCCAGTAGGAAGCCTAATGTGAATTCTCCATTCAGTGCACTGGGTGTCAAACTTTATGTTCTCTACAAGATGTTACTTTCAATACTGAAACACCCTTTCCCATACATTAACCTTCTCTTTCCTACCAACTACTGACTCATCCCTCCCTCCCCTTCACAGCTAACGTTCTCGAAGTAGCTGGCGACATTTCCTCAACACCTTCACCTCATACTTCTCAAGTTACTTCAGCCTAGCTTAGGCCTATTTCTATACCCAAACTATTCTTATTAAGATTACCAGACTAAGTCTAATGGACACTGTTTCAGTCTTAATCTTGGCAGCATTCAGCATTTTTAATCATTTTCCCCCTCTTAAAACAAGTTTTCCTTTCATTCATTTGACAACAGCATCTCCTGCTTCTCTTCTGCTACTTGTCTAGCCATGACTTCCTAGTCTCCACCTGTTTGTCCCAGGTTCTTTTTTTTTTTTTT